ACTAATTGACCGAAACACCACAATCCACTCAATTAAACAGACTTCCAAACAGCTTTGTTACTGCTTAGATTGACAAACTAAGTAAACCAACTTTGTTTTCCCTCTGTGTTTGGCTGGAATTCTGATCAATCCACTTTGGGTACATATTGCCTTTAATATTTTATATGCAATGAAAACCTTCAAGTAAGGGTCTCAGAAAATTATACTGAATATGTCATAAAACTATTTATAAATTGACTTTAATATTAATTCAGAAGTCAGACATACAAAATAAGCTGTTATGATTATACCCATGGATAAATGAATTTAAGAAGAGAATATAAATACTAAACAAAACTTATTAAAAATATTCAACTGACAAAATGGAGTCTTATTTTTCTAATTAAGATTTGAACCAATCCAGCACATTACAAGACAATCCCAACCACTACAAGACGATAAAAAATCTCAAGACAAATCTATTTAAATTAATATAATGCAATCTCTATGTTTAAAGAATGAAAGAAAACATTTTGAAATCTAAAAGAATGAGAAATAGTCAGATGTTAAAGCTGTAAAATTGATCCCAAAAACAATTTAATAATTTAATTATCCCCACATTTGTGTTTTTTCTTTAAATCACATCAATATCCTGTAATTAAACAAGAAAACACTTCCGGTTGTGACTTTCACAGACATTGGAGCTGTTTTACACAGGAATAAAACAAACACACTTTTTTCTTATGATCAAATTGTAAGAAAAAAAAAATAAAAAATTGGACAAATTGTGAGTGTGTCGGTGCAGAAAAAGATCCCAGGATCAAAAGGGGTACAGTCACATGCCAGGTTGGAGCTGTGAGAGTGTTGTTTTGTTGAGCCCTGTAACCTTTAATGTTTCCCTTGATGTGCTGTCCATGCACCAGATGGGGCACAGTGCTAGAAAAAGGAGCAGTGAAAGTGACTGAGTTTACACGTGTTACACACAAATATACAGTGAGGGCTTTGAAATTCCTGTGAGGAGCAGATTCACTGTCCAATGATAGGCACAGAGGAATACATAGTAGGTCAGCCTGGTTTCCCACAGGTACCTCGGGTGAATGAAAATGTGAGGAACACAGATGGCCTCAGGTTAATCTGTGAGTGGGGATGAGTAATCTACCAAGGGTTGCTGTATTGGTGTTATTGTACTTCAATTGTTTTAATTAGTAGGTGTCATTATTACTCTATTATGTATTCACTGGAAAACCCATTCTGTCTTTCAAAAGTGTTCAATAATAGATTTCATTATCTAATTACTGAACTGAAACTATAGTTCACCCTGTACTAACTTCCAATATAAATATGCAATTACAATGCAATTATAATACAATCACTGAAAGCTTAACGGATTTGCGCAGTATCTTTGCTGTTCCTAGAACTGCACTTCTCTGGAACGAGATGTCTGATGTATTTCCAGGGATCTGCCGTAGCCACTCCTCAGGTTTGGGGGTCACTGCCCCAAGTGCCCCAGTGGCCAGAGGCATCACTGTTGCCTTGACCTTTCAGGTTTTCTCCAGCTTTTCTGTGAGCCCCTGGTATTTCTATAGTTTCTCATGTTCCTTTTTTTCTGATGTCCGGTTAGTTTGCCATTACCGTCCATTCAGTCTGTTTACTGTATATCAGGAAGTCCCACAGGATCTTGGCTCGGTCAATCTCTACCACCTTTGGAGGTGTTTTCACATTGTATATAATAATAATAATAATAAAAATATGAAGTAACTTATTCGAGCACAAATATTTTGGAACAGCCTAAAAATCTTATTTTTACTTATTTTAATCAAAAGCAGCAGAATTTGATCGAGCCTAAAAAAAAAAAAAATATGTCAGGGGTGTAATGGAGGGGATGCTAAGACAGAGGTAAGCGAAACTGAAATAGTAAGATAAAACAATAATATATATGTAACAGATTTTAAGGGGAAAAATGTTCTGACATATAATTAAGCCAAACATAAGTATGTACCCTATAATACATAATTC